GGTGAAGTGGGTAATGGCTGGTACGGTTCGGGAGGAATTATGGGCTTGGGATTGTATGAGAAAGGATAATGTTCGTTGGGGTATAATTCCCCTAACAGTGTTATGAGTTATATTTGGGAAAAAAAAAAAATCTTAGGATTTTTGATGGGAAAGAAAACCCGATGTATAGATTAAGAGATAGGTGGTTCCATGTTTTTGGATTTATGTTTATGGGGCGTGACATTGTTAGTGATGAGGATTTTGGGTTTGTCATTGATACCCTAACTAGTTTGCAAACAATTGTACATGGGCGGTACCCCTTTATTTGGTGCCTTGTGAATATATACTTCTTAACTTTTTATTTAAAAAAAAAAAAAAGAAAATGATCGAGTGTAAAGTTTGTTTAATTTTCATTGGGAAGTTCCAAGATTAAAATTTTATATCGTTCGTCATTCCAAAACTTGTAATTGAGTCTTCTTCTACTTGGACAGAATGATGCAGAATAAGTTGGTTTAGATTGACTAAATAGATGAGAAATTATAATTCTTTTAGATACAATATTATTGTACTATTTAGAAGTCTATAATTCTTTTAGATGAGAAATTAAAGCCCTGGCCTGGACGGTTTTAATCTTAAGTTCTTTCAATCGTTTTGGGAGGTCGTGAAGTATGAAATTCTTGAGTTTTTAATGATTTCCACACAAACAGATCTTTTGTTAAACTCCACCTTTTTAGTTATGATCCCCAATAAAGAATGTGCTAAGAATCAATTTCCGGCCCATTAGCTTGGTTAGCTGTGTGTTCCAAAGTTCTGACCAAAAGATTATCTAGAGTTATCAAGCGATCATTGGGGAATGTCAGCAAACTATTGTTTATGGAAGACAGATTACAAACACTATTTTGATTGCCAATGAAATCGTGGATGATGTTATCTGGAATAATAAGAGAGGTGTCTTATGCAAGGTGGATATGGAAAAGACTTTTGATCATGTTAGTTGGACCTTTGTTGATCACATGCTTGAAAGGCTCGGTTTTGCTATGAGATGGAGAAGCTGGATTAAGTCTTGTATCACATCCACAAGTTTTGCAGTCATGGTTAATTGTGGTCCTTCTTCTTTTTTCACAGCTTCAAGGGACTTGAGACAAGTGATCCCTTTTTTCCCTTATTGTTCATTATAGTGATGGAATCTTTGAATAAATTAATTGAGAAGGCCAAAGAGCTGCAACTTCTGAAGGGGATTTATGTGGGTGACGATGGCAAATAGATCAAAATCTCCTACTTATTCTTTGCCGATGACACTTTAATTTTTTCCAGCCGGATGTACGTTCGCTGCTTATCTTGAGATGCATGATTTTGTTTTCAAGCGATTTCGGGACTCAAAATTAATATGCATAAATCTGAGTTAGTGGAGCTTGGGTTGAGCAATACTGATCACTCCCTCTCACGGGTTTTGGGCTTCGAAGCTTCTCAGCTACCTATAAAATATCTGGACATCCCACTAGAGGCCAAACATAAAGATGGTAGATGGGAGCCGATCATTGGTATGTTCCAGAACAGATTGGTTAATTGGAAGAGGAAATTTCTATCTAAAAATGGTAGATTGACTCTTATCAAGGGCACCCTTTCCAACCTTCTCATCTATTCATTATTGGTGCTTACTATTCTGGCCAAAGTCGTCAAGACACTGGAATCGATTCAATGCAACTTCCTGTGGGGGAGACGTTGACAACAAAAAGAATTCCACCTTGTTAGATGGGTTGAAGTCAAAAGACCTCTCATGGAAGGTGGGCTGGGGTTGAGATCTCTTGATATTCTGAACAAACTCTTCGTGGGAAATGTATTTGGGATTTTGGAATGAAAAGAATTGTCTTTGGAAATTTTTCATTGAATTCAAATGGTTCGGAAGGGATATCCATGACCACACCATTATTGAGAACAACAATTTCGGTACAAGCCTTTGGAAGAGTATTATGCAGTGCAATAATTCTTTCCTTAATTGCTCAAAGTGGGTTATAGGCAAAGGAAACAAGGTTGCATTTTTGGAGGATGTCTGGTGTGGCAACGAAAATTTCCCGTCTTAATACCCCTTTATTTTTGACATTGCAAGGGAAAAGAATATGCTGATTGAAGCGGCTTTTGGGGACAAAAGTCACATGGCTTTAAATGTGGTGGTTAATAGGAATTTACAGGATTGGGAACTGGATGAATATGAGAAGATGCTCAAAACTTTGGCCACTGTCCATCTTAGCAATTAGGAAGACAAACTAAGCTGGAACCTGAGGAAAAATGGCGTCTTTGCTGTTAAATCCTTCTACAGCTTTCTGGACGGCCTCAGAACTGACAGGCAGAAGGATTTCTCTGCAACAATCATTTGGAAAGCTTGTGCTCCTCCACTGATCTCATTTTTTGCTTGAGAGGCAGCGAAAGAATGCATTTTAACGCTTGATAACCTTATGAAAAAAGGTGTTATCACTGCCCGCAGATGTTTCCTATGTAAAAACAGTTCTGAATCTTGTAATCATCTGCTTCTCTGGTGTTCTCTCATATAATTTGTGGTCCATGGTCCTCGGCTTTTTGGGAATTTCTGAGGTCATGG